GGGGGGGGGGGGGGCAAGGATTTCTTAGGCACCTACTAAGTTGCCATATGGATGGTAATTGTTTATGCTTTGATGGTTGCACCCTGTTCTGTAGGTTTTACACCTCCTCCCTCCCCCTTTATCTGTATTAATTTCACTTCTGATTCTCTTGCTTCAAGGATTCCTATTGTAGATATCTGAATACCAGGCAAGGGTGCAAACATATAACAGAGCCTGTTAAATGTACAGATCTTTTGATACAAAGGCTAAAAGCAGATTGATAATTGTTGTTATAACATATGTGCTCAGTACAGAACCTCAAGTTATGTTTGCTTTGAAGCCGTTACAAAGACTTTAACAACAGAGGTGGCCTGCACAAGATCTTCAATGCTTTCTACTTACATTGACATGTAATTCACCCAAGAACAACTTATGAGCAATTCTGTTTACTAATGAGCTGAACTCCTAAGGTTTCCAGAAGCTTCAGATTAACATCATAGGTCTTTTGGAATTCTTTATAAGATACCCTGAATTAAGTATTACTGTTTAACACCTAAGCTGCATATGCAAAATCTTTGCTTCTAATACGTATTGTTGTATCTTAGCTTGTATCTATATCATTGGAGACGTAGGCTGGATTCATTTGCTAAACCATAATGAGTTTTACTTTTTTAAAAGCTGGTTTAATATGTTTTGTGAACCCAGCTATTATGATTATGAAACATGGTTCATGGCTGAGTATATTGTGGTCTATTCAATAAAACATAGTTAACTAACCATGGCTTAGCACAGCATGCAAATTAGCTAATTTCAAACACTTTCTTGTGAAGGCTCATCTATGTAGTAAACCAAAAACATGACTCCTGCCCCTGATGGTCATAGTGTGTTTTGAACATTGTTTTTTTTTCATCTGGTACAACTATAGCTCTGTTTTGTGTATTTGGTAAAATATTTTTGACAATACAAAACTTGGAATAGCTGGGTCTGTCATGTAGTGGTTATTTATTTTACCTTCTCGGCAGCCACAAATAAAGCTGAGAGGCTGTCTTTACTCCCCTTCCTCTCTCTATTTTTAACTTTCTGAGAGGGGAAAAAATCCATAAGACGTAGTTGGAGTTGGTGCTAGTGCAGACAAATTCAGAAGGGCCTTACCCACCCTTCCCATTTCCTCCCCGCCCCCCTTTTCACTCCATATGGCTGCAGGGAAGTGGCAAAACCTGAAACAGCCATGGAGACAAGGTGCCAAGGAAGACACCATTTTTTGTAGTACTTGTGATCTAGGACAATCACAGATACCAGAAAAGACACTTAGCCCTTGAGTAAGCAGTTTTCTGAGCATCAAAAATTAGTTTTGCTTCAAACAAGAATAAAACTGGTTTTGAGTGATAATTTGTATAGGTTAGAGAGTTTTCATGACATGGCTCAGTTACAGTATGTGTGTTGTGCAGTTAAGTGTGTAATGTGGATGGGACAGCTATGGCTGGTTTTGATGTTTTTCCCAATCACCAGTAAAGATATACTAGCAATGGGGAAATATTATTTAACATGAAAAAAGACACAGGGGAATAGAGTTGGACCCCTCCTTCCTGCTGACTTCTCCATGCTCTGCTGCCCCATGAACTCTGCTTCTCTTCTAGTTATGGTACTGGAAGTGAGTTGGGTTGGAAGAAAAATGTCTAAAGAAGCCATTCCAAACTTACAACCTCCAGATGTGTTGATTGTGTATTTTGGGAATTGCAAGTCCAGTACATCTGGAGAGCATCAGATTGGGGAAGATTAGCCTAAGGTAATGTGGAGCAGGCAGGTTATACAGGAAGGAGTACATGTTTGTTCTCCTTTGCCATTTCCCTTTGATGACAGAACAAGACATTCTTCTGTGCTTTCTAATAAGAACAGGACAGACACAGCTATACACAATTGGGGCTGCCTGATACATGTCTAATGTGGGCCAGATTTTTCTTGACTGCAATGTCATGCAGTTCATGGACCTTTGAAACATTCCTTGCTTATCAGGTCATGACTTAAAGTGATAACTGAATTTACCACATTAATATCTATGAAGCAATGTTCTTGAATGCCACAAAAATTTGATTGTAGCATTTACCTCCAAGAATGTTAAATGGTCCAAGATGTAGTCTTGCCAAAAAAGCAAAGATGGATAAACCCACTAAGTATAATAATTTAGAATGGCTTGGAATAACAGTACAGGGCAGATGTTTGAATGTTGATAAACAGTGACTGCTGTTTCACCACCAAAATGGATGCCAAGTATAATTTTGTGCTGAGAACCTTCTTTCCCAAATTCCCAGTCCTGGCAGAATATTTTACACACAAGAACAACTGCTCGTATTTAGGTTATTCCACTTAGTATACCACAGAACACTGAAAGTTGACATCTGCAGAAGTTGCCCATAAACTTTTGATTGTCAGATTAGAACACCAGTAACTATCCTGTTCTTGTCAAATCCAATGGATAGGAGTGGTCTGGTTAGATAAATTAGAGAGCAAGGAGTTTGCTTATTATTTTGACTTAACATGAGTACAGCTAATTGTTGCAAGGAGAACTTGTGGTCTATTTAGAGATTAATTTTGTTTTAAATCATATTTTTTTCAGATGAGTTGGTATTAGTGTTTTAGGTTAAATATTATATTTGGCCTGTATATTTGAATTAAATGGTGCAAATACACAAAACAGTGTTTTTATCAAATAAAACACTTTTTTTGTCTAAAAAAACCAGAATGGCTTAAAACAAATACTATTGCTAGTTCTGATGACATACAATGAATGCCCAATGGGTTTTTATGCTAGTCAGACCACAAGCATATATAGACCAAGTTTTGAATAATAGGTTCTCCGTAAAGAACATCCTAGTTAGAAATAGGCCAAACTAGAAAAATAATTCAGTGCAACAGTTCTACTCAGTGTTTTTGATCCTAGACTTCTATTGTCTGCAATTTCCAGATATGGACATGAACTAAACAGGGTTATTATGTTCCCAGTATAATCCAGTGTCAGAATGCAATGTAATCTGTGACAAAAAAAGTATTCTAAATGATGATCTGATTTTGATTGGCTAGTAGGCAAAATGATGTTAAATTCTGCTGTCAACAGCAGTTTTTCATCCTAAATTGGAGAATGCTGCTTATAAAGTTGCTTCAAATTTCAGGAGCAGTTTGGTATGACTAGGTCAGCTGTTAGAATAGACTTCAAAGTGCCACTATGAATGGAGGATGATTTTGTTGTTGTTGCTGTTGCTTGGATACCCTGTTTGCTGACTGACAATTCCTGTGTTACACATTTTAACTTCTTTTTCAAGGGTGTTAAATATTAATCAGCAATAATATCTTTGTCCCATTAGCCTTCCCCAGGCTGGTGCCTCAGATGTTTTGAGATGACAGCTCCCAGAATATCTAGCCAACCTGGCCATGAAAACCCAGCCAACCTGACCTGGTTGAGGAAGACTAATACTGTATGGATATGATTACATATTGTATTGTCCTATCAGGACCCTATGTAGAAAAAGAATCTGGTGAGATTGACCAGTTTTTATTTACCATAGAAAATCCTTGTCAAAGAATAGTAGCATTTTCAAGGCATTTTTAAAAATTATAATAGCATCTGCATATTATCAGTATAGACTATATTATATTTCATATTTATATAATTATGAAATTGAAATAGTCTGTTACCTGCTATTGATATTTATTTCTAAAATTTTATTTCACATTAATTCTGTCTTTCCTCCCACCCCTCCCACTCAGTTTCTACCATCTATCAGAGCAGATGTTAGGGACAGAGAACACATAGTCCTCTTGATGCTGCTATACTAAAACTACCAGCATCCTTCATCACTGGATGTGCTGGCTGAAGATGCTAGAAGGTATGAAACATCTCCAGGGCTATAGGATTCCAATTTTTGCACAATTTAATGCAGTGCTTCCCAAACTTGGGAAATTATTTTGGATAAATAATTTTGGATAAATTATCCAAAATTGGGTAAAAGTGGTTTTCCTTTGGATAATAACTCACAAACCCATTGAACAGGGGAAACATTCATCCTGCCAGCTGCTATTCGCATCAATGAAATAATGTGTGGGTCTGACCAAGCACAAAAAATGGCAGCAGTGTCATTGTCAAATAATACCGTTAATTGCCAAATTGAAATAATTGCTGGAGACATAAAGACAGAACGTATTTGCTGTATTAATTGGAGTGGTAAGTTTGCTGTTCAGCTGGATGAAACCACAGATGTCTCCAACGACTCGCAGTTGACAGTCTACATCTGTTATAAAACCGCAATTGAACAAGATCTTCTGCTCTGCAAGCTTTTGAAAATGACCTGTAAAGGAATTGATATATTCAACGCTATTCATGCATTTTTTAGTGAAGAAGGTTTAACATGGGATTCCTGTGTGGGAATTACTGTAACAGTGATGGTACTTTTTCAATGTTGGATATGCATTCATGCTTGATAGCTCTTGCAAAGCAACACAACCCAAAAATTCTGTCAACAGATTGTATGATTCACCACCAAGCTCTGGCCATCAAAGGTCTTGTTCCTGGAGTAGAGGAAGTCATCAAAAATGTCATTACTATAGTGAACTTCATCAAGGCAAACTTTAGACATGAGGCTCTTCAGATCCTTGTGTTCCAAAACTGATTGTTTACATAAGAACCTTGTTTTCTATGTGGAGACCTGCTGGCTCTCAAGAGGGAAAGTTCTGAATCGTTTTGGCAAGCTGAGGACTGAAACTGAGATGTTTTGGGTTGAAAAGAAGCATGCTCTCATTGAAAGAATTTCCAACAAGAAGTGGTTAGCTCAGCTTGTATTTGGTTGATATTTTCTCCTACATGAATGGACTTAATGTGCAACTTCAAGGAAAAAAGGAAAATAGGAATTCTGCAAGTGAAAAAATAACAGTGTTTCAAGAAAAACTTGAGTATTGGCTAAAAAAGGCAGAGCAACATAAAATTGCATCCTTCCCCAGCCTTTCTTTGTTCTTGGAGGATGTGGATGGGGTTGATTTCAGTGAAATCAAGGTTGATGTGATCACCCACTTAACAAAACAATGTTTGCATTTCAAGGAATACTTTCTTGAACTAGAAATGTCTATATATCAGTGGATTGTAAACCCATTTCTGTGTGATTTGACTGAAGTCCCTGATAATGTTAATGGTTTTGCAGAGCAAATGACCAAGCTTAGGTCAAGCAGTCAGTGCAAAATGTTATTTGAAGGAAAGAAAGACCATCTGGAGTCTTTCTGGCTAACAATTCACAATGAATATCCTGTGGTAGCTGGGGAGGCTGTGATGCAATTATTGCTGTTTCCAAGCACCTACATGTGTGAAGTAGGATTTTCCACTCTTACCTTCATAAAGAGCACAAAACCAAACTGTTTGCTGAACCCTGAATACGATGTGAGATATGCTCTGTATCCAATTGTTCCCAATTTTGTGGAACTAGTAAATAAGATGGAGCAGTGGCTTTTTTTCTCATTAGCTGGGACTTGGGTGATGAAATATTCATGGTGAATATTTACCAAATTTTTGTGGCTTCTAAAATGTTTAGAGATGTTTAAAATAAAGACATTGCATCAAACATATGGTTTGCTTCATATTTTACCAATCTCTCTTCACTTGTCATATATGTTTTTCTGTGCAGTTAGTGTTTTACCTATATTGGGTAAAAAGGACTTTCTGATAAGCAGTTTTGAGTAATGAAGGAAAAAGTTTGGGGAGCACTGCTTTAATGTCACATCAGAAGCCTGAACTAACACTTTATGTGAATAATAGAATGCAACAGCTTTTATCATTAGAAGGTTGTTCCTAATGGCCAATTGAAATCTGCTTCCTCGTAATTTAAATGCATATTTTTTCTTGTCTTCTGAAATAACACTAAATAAGACTGTGTTATCTTCCGTATTACAGTCTTTCAGATATTTACCACAGCTACCATGTCTCCCTGCAGTCTTCTCTTCTCCATTTTAAACACTGATTACTTCTGAGCTGTAACATCAAGTGAATACTATATATGAATCAGCATTCACACACACAAAAGGTTTGATTGCATGGGACATGCAGAGAGGATAAATAGGTTCCACTTGAAGAGGCAGTTCTTCAGGTATCCAGGCACCAAGCCATATGGGGCTTTATAGGTCAGAACCAGTACTTTGATCTGATTCTTTCCCTAGGTGCTTGGCTAGGAGCATGTGTCTTTGGGAATTATCACTTGATTGATTGATATGCCATCAAGATGGTGTTGACTCTTAGTGACCACTTAGATCTCCAGATGAGTTGGGCAGTCTATAAATGTGAACTATTAATTAATAAACATTAATTCTAAAGGGGGAAAACATATTTCTGTAACCATATCCTATCCTCAACATTTGATAAAGAAACTGCAAGCATTTTCTTTTCTGTGAGGTGAGGCAGCCAAGAACTTGACATGTACTCGAGTTACATTTGTATTCCACAGATCTCCCAGGAACTCAGCAGAATTACCTAGAAGATTACTGGGAAAATTCCCAAGTGCACATTGGAGCTATACATTCAGATAAGGAGCCAGGAGAGGACCCAACTGAGCAATGACTAGCCTCAAATAAACAAGAATGATCTGACCATGGCAAATGACTTGCTACAATGGCTTTCATCTTCAGTTCACCCACAAACCAGATCTAACAAATGGCCATCTGTATCAGTTCATCCAGCAATTATATTGGACGAGTTCATGGTTGCCAAGGAGGCCATGTATTCCTGAGTATTCCAGAATTCCTTCCCAAGGCATGGATATTGAAATACCTAGCAATGCAATCTGGGAAGGCTCCAAAACAGATCTGCAATAAGGTCCACGAGTTCAGGATGGAACTCTGGCAGGCAGCAAGATGGGTGGTAAATGAGCAGAACTCCTAACTTGTCCTACAGTCCCAACTGGCATTCATAGCCAACATCAGGATCACAGCCAGATTGCATCTGAGAATTATTGGCAGTCTTCTCTCCTTCCCCTGACAGCATATCTAATGCAAGACTCAAATCTCAGGAAAGTAGATTTCTAGGAGCCTGACACTGCTGCCTTCTCACAACAGGTTTTAGTAATACATACAGATGCATCCATTCTTCTTTGACCAAACCATAAATGCAAGCAGTCTTATTACAAATGGATCAGGTGTTCACCAGGAATGGCTTGAGGCTAAAACCATTAGCAGAGCAGTCATCTGGCCCTTGGATTGAGGCAACAAGGCCAGAACTGGATCACCCTTTCATTGGAATGGCTGCCCAACACCTCTTAAATATCACCCCCTATGTGTTACCACCAGAATATTTCTGCCATCTCTCACTGCTTGCTCAGATCCTCCTAAGTCCACCTGCCCTATTCTACCTCTGGCTGATAGAGCTATGTCAGGCCCAGTTCCCTAGATCCCATCCACTTCCTAACATCCATTCCATCTAACCTCACCATTACCCAGCCTACTGGTAATTTTATACTTCTCCATTAGGCTCATAGGCCATTGCTCTGGGTGACCAACAATCTCAGTTCTCCAGTGCCACACTAGTATGTCTGTTCCTTTCTTCCCCATTGCCTTTCACTGACTTCCTGCCGCCATTCATTATCTCTTCCTCTTTTTCATTTCACTTCATTTTAAATATCCTGTTATCTGGCACCACTGGCTTAATCACAGTGTCTCAAATCCTTCTACAGTACCAATTTGCCAACTTTTCTCCAGTTACCTCCAAAATCCAGCCCCTTTCATCACTGCGTACTTTCCTGCATTTAATCTTCTCCCTCAAACTAAATTGTCATCCGCTTACCACCAAACTTTCAGGTTTTCCCCCAAACTCTCTGGAATCAAAAGCCTGCCTTGTAGATCAGCACACAGGCCTTGGAAGGGCACCAGGTGGTAACAATGGTTCAGCTCTATCTTCTCACCATTACCAATCCTTCCTTCATTCCTTGGAACCAAGGCTAAACTGGGATTTAGTTTCATAAGCAGTGGCAGGTGAGGGGAAACATAATATCTCCAGGGATGGGGGAGAAGAATGAGATAAAGGAAGAAGGGGCCTATAGCCCCACATAACATGGGTGGTGGCATTACTGGCCTATTCTGGGCACTAATTCATACTTAGCACCTGCACATCTGTTCAGTGTTCTAATAGCTGTTTCTGTAATGTAACTTTAATAGCTGTTCTTCCCTGTAACTTTAGAGGACCCTTTTTGAAAGATCTGGAACCTCTTGAGAAGTAGCTTGGTTCACACATTGGACCAAACCATAGTGAAGATGTTTCTTGACTTTGTTTTACCATGCTTACAAGCCCATGTAAATGTGAACCTACACCATTATAGTTTATTCAATAAATGATTAAACAAGTTATGTCTCAAGGCAATGTGTGCTCACAGTTTTCCCCTAGAGACTTCTTTTTTCTTTCTTTGGTTTTTTCTTTCTGATTCCTGGTAGCACATAAACTATGATATCATGTATTTATTGTTACTTTTCCAATGTAGATGTGTAAATTTAATTGAATAAGCAGCAAAGCATTTAAAAAAGATAATATCCTAATAAACTCTGTGAGTTGCATTAAAAATATGAAGGTTTTCTTTCAGAATTCAACAAATTGAGAACACCTACATTTTGAAATTCAGCATATCACTGAAGGTTTACATTGCTAATTGAAGGTTTTCTTGTATGTAGGTGTTTCACTCACTGATCTGAATGAAATTACATTTAGGATTATCTCCTGAGAGTTAACCAGATATGTAAAATATGCTTTCAGGTTAAATCAGAAAATAAATCTGAATTATTCTGCCCCCTGGTGTTACAAGATTCCATTGTCTCTCTGGCTTCAGATAGAATAACATTTAGTTTAAGATACATGAGAATTATGCAATCATGAAGAATTGTACCCTCACTGAAATATATATAAATATTACACACACACACACACACATATCAGGTTTAAATGTTTAGAATAATGTTTAGTATAATGTGGTTTTGGTGATCAGCAGTGGGGCAAAAGGCATACTAGTTCATTGTAAATGTCCGAAATGTTTTCGGGCAAAAGAGACAAGAGAATTTTACATTTTCATAACAGCACTAAAAATTATCCAGCAATGGAAGCCTGTGACAAAAAAACAGCCACTTATTTTTTCTAGAAATAACACATTCACATACAACAATTTTTGAAAGGCTAGGAAAAAAATATTGTAAAGCCACCAGTGTCAGTAGCAACTACTTTCAATTTATACGATCTTTCATAAGGCAAGATCATATTTGACTATAGTTCTGACATTTAATACACAGAATACACCTATTCCAGAGACAATGACTGTTTTCAAACATTGCACTATGCCATGATGTGTTTGGTTTGGTTTTTGCTTAGCACATCGGGTAAGCCCATTTAACTGTGGCTTATTCCTGAAATTATAGGTTAAACAGACCATGGCACAGTGTATGAGCACTACCATTGTATGTGATCCTATAGGTGGCCATGGAAATTTCAGTGATTCACTCTATTCTATGACTGTCTATGTTCAAAGTAGATTATCATGGATATGTACCACGTGCAGCTCTCACATGAAGGTATTAGTCTGAATATGTGCATTTCTGTTTGAGCAGAGTCCAGTCACAATATCAGATGTTGCCTGATGTTCTCTGTCATATAGCCAATGGCTTTCAATTAGTCTTCCAGAAGCTGGTATCTTTCAGATGTTTTGATTCCAAAATCCAAAAATTTTATTGTGGATTATGGTTATTTTAGCCCAAAATGTCTAGGGGGGACTTGAGTTTGGTGGGCTCCTCTTGATCATGGCTTTCCAGATGCTTCTAGATTAAAGTTGATTTTACCTATAGCTTATATCATTCCATGCATTTTCAACCCACGCTCTACATAAATACGTAGAACCATCCTGAGTCTTTGGAAGTAGAACAGTATCTAAATACTGTGTATGTACACATACATGTTCCATATTTTTCATGCTGTTTCATATCATGCCTTTAATCTCAACCTTATGCTGAAACAATCAAATGCTTATGGTTTGAAATTATTCTTCTGGAAAATTCTGGGTACTACTTTTGACAATTTAAAAAAACAAACAAGCCAAAACTGTCCCTTGATTTTTAAAATTGTTTTAAAAATAATTAATTACGTCAATTATAATGTGATTCCTATGCATGATTCCAATGTCTTATGATCTCTATCAGGATATTGCATTCTATTTTTTTTTCCTCCAACACTCAGCATTCTAAGGGCTCCTTGATGAGCTTTTGTTCAGAGACATGAATGTTTTTAGGGTATTTGTATAGATACTTGTTTGTAGTTTGGCAAACCTGAGGAGCCCTTGCTGACATCTTGGGCTTGATCCTGATAGAGATCATAAGACATTGGAATCATGCATAGGAATCACATTATAATTGACGTAATTAATTAATTTTGAATTATTTAGACACATAAGGATTGATATGCCATATCTGGGCTGCAAAAATCTAGATGAACTATAGGATAGAAAGAAAAAGAGTTTCTCTAGCTATGCCTACATAGGGATCAATAAATCTAGTTTGTAGAATGAGACAGGATTCATATACAGCCCTCAATGTTTTAGAACTGCAACTCTCAGTTCTTTGTCACACACATCTGATATAAGCCATGAAGACATAAAAATTACAACTCATGATGATGCCACTACACAAATGACACAATTATGTAGTTTGCATCAGTCACATCATGACATCTCATGCAAGTATGTAAATAATGCCATTTGCATGATAATGTTATGACATGCATGATAATGTTATGATATATGTCTTCATTTGCCTCCTCAGTGGGCACTGTGCTGTTTGTGAACAGAACCCATGAAACCATAGCTGTGTTTTGTGTGCTTTCATCCAAGTTTGTAATAGAAAGTTAAAAAAACAAAACAAAACACCAGAATCCAGTTTTTGGTGGAAGACAATGTGTACTTTCTCAGCTCTAGGTATTCTTCTGCAAATCAGTTCTCAGCAAACTAAACCAGAACCAGTTTAGTGCTGCTGTAGAAGTAATTGCTTAACAGGAGAAGTATAATGGCTAACTCAAGGGTGATGTGATGTTAGCCCATATGGTAAAGCTGCACATGCTCATTAAGCCCATGTTGTTTATTCATAATGGGCACCCATTAAGCTCTTTAAAGCAAAGTGAATGATATAGAGACACAGCTGGTACTTCCATCAATCTCTTCTTAGTGAGAGAAAAACAGCAGATATATTTTAGACGTATGGCTACGATGAAGGCATAAATAGATTTGCCTTTTTTGCATCATATGATGAGGCTCTGAGAAGACCGCAGGGAAAAGGCATCTAACTAAAACTGGGAAATTATATACAGTATTTAGGAATGAATTTCTAACCCCAGATGCAATGTTGTATAAATCTGCAAAAAATGCATTGTTCATAAATCTACGTACCAATAAAGTTTGAGGAGTTATCTTAGGGCGATGGAGTTATAAAAGATAAGAATTTTCTCTTATGGATTATACAGAACGCCCTAACACACTTTAAAAATCTTGTAAATCCTAATCCAGAAAAAAATACCTAATTTTGTCATTTGGTAGCTCAGATATTTAAACATTTAATTTTTTAAAAAGAAACTTATTAAGATACAATGGTAAGTTATGTAAAAATGGTGACAACAGAAAAATGTTCCAAGTCATTCAAACGGTGCCACTTGTTGCTGAGCGTTGCATAACAAATGGCAGTACAGTTAATAACATTTGACAGTGCACTGATGGCCGTGGATCCTTTCAATAAAACAGTGCTTCTTAAATCATAACTTCTAGTTCTAACTTAATTAGAACCAAATGTCAAGAAAGACCTGAAAAGGTGAGAGAGACTAGCTAGAAATGGCAGTAGATGACAAATCACTGATTTATTTTGTGTCAGGGTTTAGGAAATATTCAGAATAAGTCAGATGCTGACCCCATCACTATCTTTATTTTTTTTTTTTCATGTACATTCAGAGGAGAAGAGTTTGGTGTTACCACAGAACCTACCTAGCAATGAAAAACAGCCAGAAATATTTATATTCTTGCTAACAACACAGATAATTCAGACACACAGACTATATTAAGCACATTGCCCCTAAAATAGCCTATGACAACACTAGATGGACCTTAAAGAATACTAGTTATTCCCCAAATTTAACTTTAAAATTGGAGGGTTATTTTAGATCCTCTTAAAATATGGTAATAGAGGCAGAGTGTCAGAATTTTCTTCCTGTCTGGTAAATACAATATAATTGCATTAAGGTTCCCACAGAACTCATCTGCCCATCCTGCTTGCCCCATCACAAACACAGACCACTGACCATTTCTTGAGAACAGGAATAACAATCTCATCCTCAAAGTGCCCTCCCACCCATTGCAAAGTTTCTGTTGTCTTGCTCCATGTCTAAAGTAGTGTTCTTAGTTCTACCAAAATAAATGCTGTGTTGTCTGCCTGCTGAACATATTCATTATATGCAAATGAATCTGATCCAATTGGTTCCTGGGTGCTGTGGTGGAAACACCCCCTCCCCTCCAGTCAATAGTCATAATACTCCACAGCCATTGCATCCTGGGCTACTGGGCTCTCTACCCTCCTGAAAGGATCTTCTCATTGATGAAATACTGGATCTTTTTTTTAACAGGTCACTAGTGAACCATTGGCCTTTTTTTTTTTTTTTAAACAAGGTGGATATTCCTTCCTTCCTTCCACCATGTGAAACTGAATTCTGCAAGTTTCCCCTCTAACCTAAGTGACGGAATGGAATGTAAAATTGTGGGGTGTGTATTTTTTCCCTACTGATCCACTGGGATCTGCCAGATGGAAAGTGTAAAGTAAAAGGAAGAGTTTAAGAGGTGGTGGGGCGGGAGGTCATACAAAAGGTCTATCAATGAATACTCACTCAAAGATGAATATTCAAGGCTTACCTGACCTGAGGTACTGGGTTTCCAGCAACCCTGCATTGAAGTAGAACCTTGTTTCCTTCAGGGACTTCTTGACTCCTCAGTTTCTGGATAAATCGAGGGGGTGATAATTGATTCTGACTTTCTTTTGCAACCTGGTTCTGAGAGACAGTCTCACTAATCTGAGAACCTTCTTTCCTTTGGAGCACACATTTCCTATCCTGAGTGACTTTTGGGATCTCATTTTTTGGTGTGATTTCTAGGCTTGTTTCCTCAAGAACTGGATTCCTTATGGAATTTGACAAAGCTAATTGCTTGCTTTTAGGAGAAAGATATCCACTATCTGGAGAAGAAGAATTTCCATCTGGACTCTCAACTCTTGTCTTGGCTGCTTCACGAAAGATAGAAGACAGTTCTTCAATCAAAGTGGCAGCTTTGTCACATAGCTTATTCTTGACGGGAACATTACTTGCCAAAACTGATTTAGGTTCAGGGCTCACCTTTTGTGAATTTAAACCACGTCTTTCAGCATTCTTGAGACTTCGAATAAAGCTGGGTCTTGCAGGCAGCAGAGGAGAAGCACTTGCTTGTTTATTAGTAACACTTAGAATATTGTTTTTTTCTTGAGGATATGTATTCTGGCCCTGCTGCTCTGTGGGAGTTTGAGATGAAGGCCACAAGGAGGTGGAGCTGGTTGCATAATTTATCTTGGAAGAATCTCTGTCATGTCCTTTGGCTTGCCCAGAAAAGGCATTCTCTGGTGAGTTTGGAGAAGTGTTGAAATAAGTGCACTCCTGCTTAACTTCTTTATCAACAGAATTAATAGATTGGTGAGCAAGTTCAAGGCTTTTGTTTATCTCATCTTCACTGAGAAAGGCAGAAAGCTCATTTGAAAATTCCCTGCCTTGTATATCTGATAGGGAATCATAAAAGAGTTCATAAGATGATGAATCCTCAGAATTGTTTTCATAGTTTCCAGCATAAGTGCTTTTCTCAAAAGGATGGGGCTCTTTCATAGTTAGAGAGAGGGGGATAGGCTGCTCACAACTTCTGTCCTGCATGCTGGAACAAAAAATAAATCTTGTCTCAGTAAGGCCTAGGATTTTATCTAATTAATATCCTTTACTAATCTAGCATTGTCAATAAAGCAGAGGAAAAAAATACAGTGTAGGTGAACGTCCCTTATATTTTTATACATAAAAGTATGTTTTAAAATATATTTTTTGGCTACTAAAGTGTTAATTGTAACTTGTTCTGTGTAGTTGGAATGATGAATTTCAGATGTTTTATCTAAAAACTAAATTTTCTCATGTATTACCAAGACTAACTCTCCTATTATGATAAAGCACTCCCCTCTGATGACTATTCTGCTATTCTACTTACCCATTCCCTTCTGTCTAGCCTTTTCTGATCATCTAAACTCACCTACTGCTGTACCAGATGTACTATTGGATTCTGTTCCATAGCTAATACTGAAGGTTCAGCTGGCTGTCCTGCCAGCTTTCCTATATGGAATGAGGGAAGAAGGCATCATCTTGTCATTTGCTTCAGCCAATAAAATGTCTCATTTCCAGGGAATTACCACCTTGACCTGATGGAAAGACTCAATAGCTTTACCAGCCCTGAAAATGATGCCAGTGGGAAACATACTCCTGGTACGGTTATCCTTGATAATAAAGTACAATGGCACAAATTCTTATGAGAGCACCTTGGATCATTCTTTGCAAACTGCACTGCTCATCAGAAGACTTCCAGGCACAATTCAAGGTGCTGGTTGTTACTTATAAAGCTTTTATATGGAACCACCTGTCTCTGATTACCTCTATCCATCTGATAAGATAACACCCTAATAATTTGTTAGATTAGTTTTATTTGCCTAGGAGTTCTAGGGATTGAGATATCTTGGATATATTATAGGTAGTCAAGGGATTAAACCAGATGAGAGGAAAGTCTGAGACATCCTATAAACACTAATTCCAGCTACAAAAAAGAAAATGCATTTTTTTCATTGGGTTAGTTTGATGATATGTATAATTTAGTCAGTATTTCTCAATGCAAGTTACAAAGGCTCCAGCTGAGGTGCAGTGGATGGTGGAATTCCATAAGGCTTCTAAAGACTTAAAAATCACATTATGTTTAAAACTTGTGCTAAAAGGACTTAATTTTGATTTACCTTTACATTGTATTTAGATGCTTCTAATGCTAGTACAACCTCATGAGGATGGGGAACACCCAATATTGTACCTACCAAAGAAATTGTTGTTAAGAGAACAAGGGTATAGAATTATAGAAAAATAATCTCGTGTGTTTGTTTAAATTGAATATTCAAAAGTGTACTAACAGAGATATGAATTTATTGTAATTACTGATCACCTTATATTGTTAGAGAAAATCTCTTGTATGGTTAGAGAAAATGAAAGACACCAATTGGAGATTAACTAGATGCTATTCAACTCTTCAGTCTTACAGGTTTAACATACAACATCAGTTTGGGAAATGTCGTCAGGTAGCATATTTTCCGTATAGATATTGAAAGGACAGTGAAAGCTGTGTGCTGAGAAAATTAAGATATTCTCACCTATAGGAAGGCTAGTCCTCCCAGCCTTCTCTAAAGGAAGACAGTAGGTAGAAGGATGAGCTGCTGTGACACCAAAAAATCTGTTCTTCTCAACATTGTAAACACCAAGGTTATTTTTTTCTTGGCGGTCTAAGAGTCAGATGCAAAAAGACACAGTTGGAAAAATCCTAACTCTTTGGAGCATCTGCAATCTGGCATATATGTGTTTTGGAGACAAAATATATAAGAGCCAAAGAAGGTAGGCAGTAAGGAGGGGCTACATGAGTTGCTGATGGTGAGAGGAGTGATTGAACAAGCAGGGGACTGAGAAGAGCGGTAGTCAAACAAGCAGGAGACCAAGAGAATCTATGGCGATAGGTCGAGGAGGAGCAGGAGATGTCTGTGGTGGACAGATGAGGATTCCAAGAGAAGTGCCTGGTGGGAGAGGCGGTCTAAAAAGGAAACAGCTCATGCCAGAAAAGAAAACTGCACTGGGGCAGCCCTGAATTGAAAATCAAAAAGCAGTTTCAGTGCTAGCAAAGGAGTTTGGTTAGAAGGGACATGTGAACATGTTCTCCCTCTCTCTTTTGGTAGTGCAAGGCTTTTCTCCCTTAGAAGTGAAAGCAAGGAGTTAGCATTCCAAAGCCTGCAGTTACCATCTGTGGGAGAAGGCAAAAGCTGGGTCTGTTTGACACTTGAACTTTGAGATAGAGGCTGATATAATATTTTTGTTAAATTATACCTAGATATTCACTTGTAAACACACTGGATAGGAACAGGGTTGCAACTGCAGGAGGTCTTTGTATGGCCACTTTTGGCTAGGTGAGACCCTTTTTATTTTCAGCATGTTTAAGTCTATCTATCTGCCCCCAGTTTTAAAACTGATTATAAATTATATATTTTTTCTTAGTAATTGTGTGTATTTTTCAGATTTTATTAAACCTCTTGCTTAATATTTAGCAAACACTATTATTTCTTCATCACTTCATTGCTGATGAACAACTCGGATCGGAGAAAGTCCATATAATCAATGCATGTTCTCTGTATATTTGTTCTGTATACCGCCCCCTGCCCCCCCCCCCCCCAGCAGAGCTGCAAATGCAGTGGGGGAAAGGGGGGATTTAGGTGTGCTTCAAACCCATAGAAATCCCTTTGCATCTCTGTAGGAATCCACTGCTTAGTAAAAGGTACCATAGCAGACAAAAGTATGTCTTAAGCTACTTTTAAACAGTTCATTTATTAACTCCAGTGAAAGGAAAAAAAGCTCAGTTCAAAGCCACACCTGTCAATTTATTCACAGGTGCTTAAAAAGAGGCATCTTGCAACTATTTGAACACATAGGTAGAAACTAGATATTTCTTTAATAATGGAAGGATGGGGTGGGTACTTTACCATTCAAGTGCCACAATTGTTTCATTGTTCCTAACGCCTGGCCAGCAGTTTTGGTGCTTCTAATTTAATATCAATCTTACACCTTTAAATTTGTTTTGAATTCAAATCTCTCAGTCTACCCAATGAGTTTTAGCTATGGTTATCTGCAGCTAATGCTGAACTGGAGTGGGGCCAGAATACAAAGAACTGCAATACAGGGAATCCAGATTTCCTTTGCCAGAGCTCTGCTTCTTTAAATGATAGCTAATCTAGTTAAAATAACACTTGAACCCTATCGAATGGCATACATGATCATAATTAGAACTAGCCTATGAGCTATTTCTAGACCCTTCTGATTAGACACCGGCATATTTATAAATGCTTTCCTCATATCACGATAGCTAATCTAGTTAAAATAACACTTGAACCCTATCGAATGGCATACATGATCATAATTAGAACTAGCCTATGAGCTATTTCTAGACCCTTCTGATTAGACACCGGCATATTTATAAATGCTTTCCTCATATCACGATAGCTAATCTAGTTAAAATAACACTTGAACCCTATCGAATGGCATACATGATCATAATTAGAACTAGCCTATGTCTAGACCCTTCTGATTAGACACCGGCATATTTATAAATGCTTTCCTCATATCACTAACAAGTTTAATAATGATGGTAAAACAATATATTGAACAGCTTGTGTGTGTGTATATATATTACTAAACCTGTTAGTACCATCATACACACACACATTCACTTTTTTTCTTAATTCTAAGATTATTAAATTTGCAAATGATATATTGGCAGAAATAATTATCTGTCACAGAAACTTCAGACAATATCCTGAGAGAAACCATGAGTTCTACATAAACAATTGTGGGTACATTAAGAGAATATTAATATTCCCTGAAAATAAGGTGGAAATAAATATTCTGAGCACTATTCAGTACTTCATTTAGACTGGATTTTTGGGGGGGTATAATTAAGAAAAAGGAATGAAGTCGATAAAAGTATGAGCACTCCATTGATAAAAGTTTTTAACAATAAAAATAAATTGTATTAAAAATAAATTATGTATTCTGGAAGAATGGTAATGATCAGTAGGAACTTTTAAAAATTGCAGCAAAATATGAAATAACATTTCTCAATGCTTAATATTAAATACATATAATTAATTATCTTCAATAAAGAATCAGAACAGATCACACAAACCTGTCAAATCTTCAAGCCAAATTGTGAAGAATTTCATGTAGGATAACGGAAACTCTTCACCCTTTTGTTTCAGAAAGCGGGAAGCTAGAACTCCTTTAGCTATTCATTCAAGATAGCTTGGTCCACAGTAACTATTGAGATAACCGTGCCCCTGAGTTACATCTGTCTTCTCTGACTGTGTAATTCCTATCCTTCTCATCTATATTTGGCAACTGAACTCATGTTTCAGTGAACTGCCACTATCTGGAATTTCAGCATAATAGACTTTGAGCCTGGAAGAACGAACAACTTCTATGTGTTTCAAACTTAAACATTCAAGAAAACTTGAATTGCTGCTGATTACAACAAGCGGCTTAGCACGTTCTTATCTAATACTGAAGTATTTTAAAATATGACACAACTAAAGCTATCTGTAGGAAATATTTTGGATGTTTCTGGCATTAGAAAATAACTCTCCATAGGAGAACTTTCAGTATTAATTTCAAATTTGCTTCTGAAATAAAATATTAATTGAAAGTGAGCTACTCATCTTTTGCTATGAAGTTCTTCTGTTGTAATGCCGATGTCCACAAAAACAACATTCGGGTTTGTGTCTGGTTCTATACCATTCATAGTTCTTTACCAACATATCTTTTTGAAAAAAAGAATGAAATGAACCCTGTATACTTTTTTCTCTGAACAACCTTTCACATTTGTAGTTTACATTGCATTAACACTGTCACAATAAAAATAGCTCTGAATTTCAATAAAATCCGAATTTGTGATATCGGAGAGTGCATAGTAGATTAATGCATGAAATTGACTGTGCCAGTAGATGGCTTTCAACATTTTCATAGCTGTGTCCCTTCTTTAACACTGATCTGCAAGATATGACTTCATTTTAATTTCTGAATCTCTAGTCTTATACAACTGAGAATGAGTCCCATTGAATTTACAGGAATTTACTTTAGAAGAATGCACTCTTAACATATCCATTCCTTTTTGTACTTTTCTCCATGTGTTTCTCAGGGCATATTTTTCTGTACTGTACATACAGTAGCTTCAACATTATTCCTTCTCCATAGGGAGCCCAAAGGAAGCTCCGGTAGTCAGTGGTCAAGTGCTGCTCTGCATGTCATAGTCCTGAGTTCAGTCTCTAGATCCTCCAGTTCAGGATCAGATTGAAGGTAATGTGAAAGATCCCAACATGTACCTTGGAGAGCCCATGCCAGAAGACTCACTGAGAGAACTGCATGAGCCAGTTTTTTATGTGTAAATGTAGGAACTGAATTTCTGGGTTATGTATCTTTGATACTAAATTGTAGGCACCCACTCAAAATTACAATTATCGGAATTTGAAGAGGGAGGAGAGGGAGAAATTATAAAGATACCTTAAATAATGTTGGGCTATATAGGGGCCTTGGATAAGGTGACTTTCTCTACTGGTGGCCTTCTTTCTTTGTAGGGTTTCTATCAAAAGAGATCCTTGTAGGTTGCCATGATGGAAGTTAGTTCTCACATGGTTAAAAGCAAACAACCTGATACCAGATCTTGTTGTTACCAAAAGAAGGAACAGATGGAAAATGTCTATTTACCCCAAAGAGTTGCACCTGGGTATTTACCCAGAGCTGACAGAAAAAAGAATTTAAACATTGATTCTAATATAAATTAATGCATTTGATACATAGCAGTTGCTGGAATTTTTTCAAAATAGTGTTTTGGCTTTTCTAAAATAAATCAGACTTCTGATATCCTTGTGTGCCTGCTCCCTTGTGTCCCAGCTTTCTGAGGAGAAGACCTACCAGCTACCAAAGGCAGAGTCATAGCTGAACAAGTGTAAATTTCACTGTCAAAGTCCTTCTTCTCAGTCGGGTTCTAAGAGAAGAAGAATGTCCTTTGGATTTCCTTTCCCAAATTCCAAGAACATCAAATCTTGGGATCTATCCTTGGTCCAGTCCTTGGTGCCGTAAGATATAATAATGTCTGGGTTTCAAAATGAGTGCTCCCACTTTTTTTTTTCTAGAGCTAAGTAGCATTTAGAAGCTCCCCAAGGAGCTGGACAGTTTGGAAAAGCCAGAGGTGGATAAGCCTATGACTGTCAGCCTATCAGGATATTATCTGGGGAACAAGGAAACCAATGAAAATATTCCATACCATAACTTGTGTTGACAGTAAATATATACTCAAAAAGTTTATTATTTCAGGTGAGAACACTACTGAAAAGTAATACCAAAAGGAGATTGGAGGAAATGGGAAAAACAACAACAACTGCAGGAAGTTGTCCCCCTTTTCTACTGGTTTTTATTAGATGTTCCTGAGAGTTGAGATCTGTATATTTGGAGATGCCCAGTTTGAAGAAGCTGGAATATAATAAGGCAATGTATACATATTAATTAATTAAATTAAATTTAATTCTATTTTTTAAAATGATTTACATGGATCCCCAATTTATATGGATCCCCAAACTGCTCACTAACTCTGTCTGGGGGAATGCCACCCTAACCAGAATCAAAGATGGTTAATATAAAGCCTGTTCTTCCTTATCCAGACCTCCATAGCCTCCAAACACTGGGAAAGAACCTTGATGGCATCCATTCTGTGGCCTGGGGCAGAGATGTTCAATCGTCAACATATTGATGATGGATATCATCAATGTCCTGATAATACCTAACCCTGCCTGATGCCCCTTTCCCAGTTGCCCTTTCATGTAGAAGTGAAATAGGAGTGGGGACAAAGAGGAACTCTGAAGCACCCCACAGTGCAAAAGTCTAGAGCTGGACCTCTTAGTCCCTATCAACATTGAATGGAACTGGCATCAAAGGAAGGAGGAGAACCACTGTAAAACCACACCCTCCACTCCCAACTCCCTAGGCCAGTCCAGAAGGCTATCACAATTGATGGTATCAAAAGCCACTGAGAGATGGAGAAGTGAATGTGCTAGCATGAACGCAGCACCCCAAACCTGAGCCCACCAAAGATCACTGACTATTGTAATCAGTGCTGCCTGAGTACTACAATCTGGTCTGAAACCTGACTGTGAGAATCCAGATAATCCACTTCCTCCAAACTGTCACACATTTTTCCTATGAAGTTGAGCTAATGAAGTTGCTTTCAAAAGAGAGGAAGACAGACAGGAGTAAATGCATAGAATGCTTTATCACCACCTGTGTAACTAACAGCATTTTATACAAGTCTACTCAGAAGAAAGTCCTGTTCAGTTTAGTAGGCTCACTGATCCATGGATGTGTGAATACAGGATTTGTAGTCTTAATATTAAGAAATATTACCATTATGGCTTGCACATTCCTATGAATAATATCTCTTTTATCTCTTTTTATCAGATAGTATCATTTCTCTGAATACCTTTCATATTCATATGAAGGTTTCACAAAGGGCTGGGCAAGTAGTAATTTATGGTGCTGGAAAATATTTTTAATATTAGTGGGTTTCAATGAAAGCCTGAAGACTCATGTGTGGAATCAGAAAGTATTTCTTTAATGATTCAATATCCCTGATAGTTAAAAAGCAAAATGCAGTAGGATTTAGATATAAGGTAGAGAAGCACAAACTACATTGAGCAATACAGTTTTTTGCCAATGAAATCTAAGAAACATCCTGGACAGGGGGTTGAAAGTGATACTATGGAAAGCTATGTAGAAGTCTGTCATAGCTAAATAGTGTTAAGATCACAGGGTGACTCTTCTGGATTTTTCATCAGTCACAGCTTTGTGTAAGTAAATGCCATACATTCTAGCATTTCAATGAAATCTCTTCCCCAAGAGTTTTTAAACAACATATCCAAATCAGAAAGTCTAGACTTTATATTTAGGTTCATGAAAACACTTTACTTAAACACCTTACTGAATCATATATAGCATGCTGCATAAAAACACTCTATGAATATTAGATTTTGTTTAGAAGTGATTAAGTTGCCAGTCCTCATCATTGCAACCTTCCCAATGTCAAGAAAATGAACATAGTGAAAGGCAAATGCATATGACATGTTGCTCCTTTGTTAAACCTATGCTACATAGGTTTTGGTGTAGAGCAATGCACGCAATTACTGTGTATCATCAACTATTTTCCAATACAGCTCAGGAGTCCATTATATTAACATGTGACAATTTGCTGTATCAAGATGAACAAAGTGAACTTAAAAACAACAGTCTTTTCCCACTTCATACTATTCAAACTGCTTATATATATGACCCTCAGAGATAGCCAAAAATCTAAATAATAATCCAAGACTTTCTGAGCTGGGGAACACATTTGGAATTTCAGAAGCATGTCATGGTCATTCTTATAAAATTGCTGCCATGATGGACATGACCAAGAAGCCATCTAATGGGAACAATCCCGATATCCCCATCTATTCCTATAGGAAGACCTGTACCATTGAGCGTATCTCTGACCCATTCCTCTCTGCTCTCCTGGAGTGCTAGGTAGCCATCCTTGAGTGGCAGAAAACTAGACCAGCATGAAATTTGCTGACCCATTGCAAATCCCTATTTTGTCTCTATTGCCCATTTCAGTTATTACACTCACCTGACTTCCTTCCAAGGTGACAATCCTAACAAACTTTACATACTTTGAGACTGCATTTCAACAGTGTCAGAAAAGGGAAAAACATTAGTTTGATGTTGGTGCAGCTAAGGTTGACTTAAGTCTGTTTCACTCATCGGCTTGGAAGGAGATGAAGGCAACATCACAGAAACACAGTAGAAAAAAAAAAGATGTTTTTAGGGCATGTTTGTACTGTAGTTAGGTGCAATAAAACCTGACATTTAAATTTTGTAAAAATGCCCTATGAGGACTATGTAGAACCCACAGACATTGTTGGAAATAAAGATAAAATGGAAGGCTGACATGTTTATTTGTTGTGTACTAGCTTCCTTTTTTTATATGTATGTAATCAATCAATCAATATTTTATTACAGTCACAGTCCAGAATTACAAATAAAATACAAATTTGTACAAATACAAATACATTAAAATGAAATAAAACAAAACATGATAATATTAATGGTGGAATCATCAGTTGGCATTCAAAGTCTGCCTAACTTTACAGACAGTGTAACAAAATTTAGCTACGTTCAAAGAAACTGAATCATACTGATGAGATAGCAACAAGTGTACATAAAAAAGATCAGAATTTCCCAGGTATTTTATCAAATAGGGAGTTATAAAATGGGTTCGTGAGTCCTTATAGAAGGTACAGTATAGCAGGACATGAGCTGTAGTTTCAAT